AGCTTCGGAGCCTTTACACCGGGTTCTCCCCGGAGCTTCTTCATCTCTTCCGTTTCAGGTCTCCGCTACTCGATTCAAAGGCAAGGTCATTAACAGCTAAGACCGGCCGGATTGCGCATCATCAATTGGCGCCGTCTGTGGGAACGCTTCAAAAAGCCTCCCTCCAAACTCTCATACCCCCTTTTTTCTTCTTCAAAAAACCCAACACTCATGGCCTCTTCCAGCAACGCCGGACGCGGCACAGAGACAAAACACCACCGGGGAACAACTTCAAGTTCCCGTGGTGTGCGTTGGACAGTTCACCATCCCCCTTTCGGTGGATGGAATCCCCAGTTTGAATGCGCCACAAGCGGTGGCTCCCGTAAACCTTCCTGCCACAAGCATCCCCTTCCCTCCCCCTATTGAGACAACCTTTACTGAACCGACTGCCATCCCCTTGGCAGCCAGCCAAAACCGGTTGGACGACCTGATGCAGTGCATGCGGGCAATGCAAGCCCAAATGCAACAGTTCTAGCAACACCAGCTTCACCAACACCAAGTGCTGCACAACATCTCCCAGTATCACTATCAACAGCAGTTCCCCCAACTGCCACTGAACCAATCACTACTTCCACCTCGCCACCCTGCTCCGTGGCCGGTCAAGGCCTCCCCGCAAGATGGRCGCCCCCACCAAGGAAAGGCCTCCGGGCCCCAATACCCCCCTAACAGCCAGGCCTCGTCCCCAGGCCGAAGAGAGAAAAAAGTCATCCCCGCCTCGCAGCTCACGAGCGGGTCGGGAACCTCGCCCGTGAGGTCGGCACCTCGGCTCTCCAAGCCCGAGTTCCCCCTTACGGAAAACCGATTCGGCGCACTGGCAGCAGCAGACTACCAGCATTCTGGGCCCATCAAGCTCGGCAACACGGATGCCAGCAGCGCCAGTACAAGGCCCACTCAACAGTGGAGGCGCCGGCGAAGTCGCCGAACCGCCACCCGTGTCCTGTCAGAGCTCAGAGGCAAAGAAGAGACGAGCTCGGACGAGATAGGAGTTGCCCCGATTCTCTTAGTTCCTTCCCCCCTCGCATCAGAACTCTTGGCGGTCCCCTTCGACCCCAACGACCACGTTGATGCCTTCCAGTCCCAAATGCACCTCGCCAGAGCCAGCGAATCATGCATGTGCGTGGCCTTCACCACCACCCTCCGGGGGGTAGCCCGCACTTGGTACAGGAACTTGGCCCCCGGGTCGATAAAGTGCTGGGCTCAGTTCGTGCAGGTATTCAC